TAATATTATAAGCACCACTTGTGGACTGCAATCCACAACTCCGCACAACTCAAAGTTATTATTCTTCATGCCCCACATGGACCCTTTATCTATTTTATGTATTACACCACTAAACTCAATATTTTTGTAATTATTATTATTATTATTATTTTCAATTTGTGATTTTAGCTAGGCATAAATTATTCATCACCCTTTTATATGTGTTGGTGCAATGGGAGGTTTTTTTTAATAAAAGGATAAAGACATCATTCAAGTATTCAACAGAATCAATGAAGTTACATGAGCCATATATGAAAGATAACCCAAGTTCAGAGTTATAGCTGCCTAAAGCTCTGTGCCACGAGTACCAAGGAGTAATATGTTTTTTGGGACTAAATTTTAAAACGAAATTTTGAGACAAGTTTTTTAACATGATCATGTGGGCTTAAATGAAACTCATATATAATCAATGTTTACCATAAATTTATCTTAAATTTTCGTTCTAATTACTGTTATTCGCAGCAAAATTAAGTTATCGCCATCCTCCTATAGTAGGATAACTAAGTGCAATTAAAGGACAAGAAAATTAATTAAACCTAATTTCATAATAAAATCTCACAAATTTTATGTTTATAAAAATAATTATGATTGATTTTTTCTATTAAATAAAAATCAATATATATTCTTTTATTTATTAATATAACAAAATTATTTTGAGATCTTACTGTGAAATACGATTGAAATGTTAGGAATTCATATATATATCAAGAAGCAAATTGAAAAGGATTTATATAGGAATTGTAAAAAATAAGTATGTTTTAATAATTAAAATGCCGAGAATGATAATAAAAAATTTTAAATACCCTTACCCTTGTTTAGTTTGAGGATAACAGAGATGAATGGATGGAAATGGAAGGATGTCATTTTCCTTCCATTTCTCTCCACTCCACTCTCCTTGTTTAGTTAGAATAATATGTAAAGAAAATTAAGCAAAATAAGGAAAACCCCTATCCTTCCCTCCCCTACAATTTTTTGTCATTCAAATAGGGAAAATGTTCTCCCTCCCCTTTCCTCAAACCAAACAAATTATTAATAAATCAACACATAAGATAAATTGATTAAGGGTATTTGAACAATTCCACAAGCAGTCTTGATTTTCACTTTTCTCCTTTAAATGCCAAGTTATTAATCTCATTCATGCTTTTAAAATATGTTGTTTTAGTCTTTTTTAGAGGAAGTTTAATGAAATGAGGTAATTTTGAGTTTTTTCCCTCTTAATTTTGTAAAGATTTGATTTATAAACACTTTACTTTATGTATATCTGTATGTGTGTGGAAGAATAATATCGTATATTTACTCTTTAAACTAATGCATTCCCCACAAATAATTTGTGTGTGTGAGAGAGAGAATGATATCTTTACATTTATTCTCTAAATTAATGCATGCCCCACATATAATTTGTTTGCTTTTTCTTCTTTAAATCTATCTATACATATTAAAGCTTAGAACCTTAGGAGTGATCATATATGGACCACTCATAATTCTTGGGTGACCCCTACCCCAAACTGAGGTTTCAATTCAACGAACCTTAGGATTGATCTCATTATTATTATTTCTTTTTTATACTCGTAACAATTAGTATTATGGCACAATTTTTTATACTATATAAAGTTTATCTTCTCAATTGATCTAGTTAAATAGAGGCCATTCAAATAATTTAACATTTAATTATGTTGTTCTCTCCCTTCTAGACAGAGTTGTTGGTTCTCCCTAGCGGTTGTCTTCCATGTCAGTTGGAGGCTTTGTCCGAAGAATCTTGGCAAGTGGAGGATATATATATATATATATATATATTAGTAGTACTAATTTAGAAAATTAGAGAACCCCATGTGTGAGAAGTGATGGTTGGGTGCAACTAGGGTTGCTCTTAAAAGCTAATGGGGCCATATTCCCCCACTTGTAGTCCTCGTTGAAATTTCGACCAAATTCCAAATAAAGATAGATATTGTAAGAACAGAATTCATATAAATAAGAATAAAAAGAATTAGAAATTAGGAATAATTGAAGAAGTAAGCCAGAAACCTCCATATATATGTCCACGGTCCACCTAATTTGTTGCAACTAAATCCCATTTCTTCATAAAACAACATAATTAGATTTGAACCAACGAGGGGTTGGATCAAGTGGTAAGCGGCTTGTTCCAGCTTAAACAAGGTCTCGAGTTCGAGTCCTTGTGTATGCAGCAGTTCCCGCTGAGAGACTCACCTACCATTTCCAGGTACGCGACGCGGGTCGGGTCCGGATTAGTCGAGGCAAAGCCTCGGATACCGAGCGAAAAACAAAAAAAAAAAAAAAACATAATTAGATTGGAAAATGATGTGATCATACCCGGATCCAACACCCGGGTGTGCATACTCCGAAAAAAAAAAAAATGGAAAACACCCTGTTCATTTTTTTTTTTATGTGGGGGGTACACACCCAGATGTTTAAATTTGAATCCGGATGTGCACCAATCATGTTCCAATTAGTTTACGTACCATATTCTGTTTTAATTTCCTTTACAAACAACAAAAAGTGAATAGATACATAGGAAGAGGCAAATAGAGAAACAAAGACGGCATACATAGAACTCTAGCTAGCTGAACGTAGATTTTTCAATCCTAATTTGTTCTAGGATCCGTAAATCTCATGTTTGAGTCTGGCCGTAAACAAATTTAATTAACCTTTATGTTGATTTCATTTGATTCATATATAGTTTCATTTCATTAAGATTTACTTATACTATCGGTTTGTAACATGTTGATTGGTGGATATGTATATGGATAAAAAAAAATGATTAAAACTTTATTTTTTATTATTTTTTATATAATTTTACATATTATTTAATAATTAATATTTTTTACTCTATTGCAACACATGATATTGTATGTGAAAATTGTATAGAAATTTGTGTCTATATATATATTTGCAGATCATTACCCAATAAAAAAAAAAAAGCAACATACATAGGAAGAAGCAATTGTCCCCATAAAAAGAACTTAGATGCATATTATTGAGATATTGTAGTAATTAACATTTGACCAATAAAGTAGTATATAGCAAACGACGGTAAAGGGGAAGCATATAACAAAAAATGACAGTAATTCAATACACAATAACAACAAAAATGGCAAGGGGCAAATTGCACTTTATTTAAGTCTTTTTGAGAGCACAATAGTGGGGGGGCAAAGTCGATTGGATGCCGCATGATGTGGGGATTGCAGCCGCAGCCACAAAAGCTAATTAAAGGTCGATCGAGTCATCATACTAATCATCAAAAGTAAATTTTAATTAAAAACAGTTATTGATACACATTTTAATTTAATATATTTTATGATATATTTATTAAAAAATATTATTTTTTGATAAAAAAAATTAAAAATAAATAAATTTAAAAATGCAATCATACTCATAAGATATAAGAATCAGTTAAATCAATTATAATTATATTATATATTTTTAATAATTAAACTGGACAAATATCACTCATGCATTTGGCTTAATATTCTACGTTTGATATGTCTTATATCCTGATATAATTGTCTTTGTTTGTAACGGAGAGGAGTACCCTTGTACTCCAAATTAAATAAAATGTTTTTTTTTTTTTGTTTTGCTTTTATATATGTACAGTGATTGGTACACCCTCCAGTTTAACATTCGGTTTAACACCCTCTCGGTTAGTTAATAAAAAATCATTATTTTTAAAAACAGACAAGTATAATGATGCAATCATGCACATAGGATACAAGAACCAACTGAATTGACTGTATTTATATTTAATGACTAAACCAGAGGGTGTTGAATCGGATGTTGAACTAAAAGGTGTACGAATCATTTTTCTTTATTTATATATATATATAAGTTAATTAATTTTGTGCACAATTCTACACTCTATTCGTTCTGATTTTTCTATCTATATAACTAAGCTGTTACTAACTTTAACTTTAGATAATGTTTTTCTATAGTATATGAATAATATACTAATTTTTTTAACAAATGAAACTACTCTATTAAAAATTATGTATCGAAAAAACAAATTCAATCGTTATTCATATGCTATATAAAATCATTATCTATTACATATAGGGTTAGTTAGGAGTTAATTATATGAATAGATAATTAAGAACATAAAGAGTATAAAACAAAGTGATTGCTATCCTTATCTATTAAAAATTAGGAATCATTTTTCATCCCAAATTGTGGTTTGTTTCAGTAAATATTGTTCAGTCCCTCTTTAAAATACAGTTTTCGAGAGTTGAAGAGTGTTTATTAAAAGTAGTCTTCTAATTAGAATGATGAAATTCCTTACAGTAATGACTGTCTTATATAAATCCCACCCATTATTGAGTAATTAGAGAATTAATTGGGCCAAAGAACAACTTGAGTAGTTTTGTGCACGAGCGCAATATATAAAGTGGGTGCACCAAGTCAACCTGGAGTAGGACCTTCCTTTTATTTTTTCCCCCTTCTTGTTGGGGTTTCGTATGGGATAGACACATTATCGTGAATCATGAAGAGGCTATATATCTGGGGGTTGTAATGATGGCCAGGAATAAAGTGGGAGGCCAAATGGAACATGACTCATATGGTTTCCTTTTTACCATAGAGATATAACATGGAAATGGATGTCAATTTTACTTGAGAATTCTATGTAAAGGGTTTCAAGTCAACAAAGTAATAACCATGACATTTGCTTTCTCTTCTTTATCTTTATTGATGTGGAAAGTTTTTTTTTTTTTTTTTTTTTTTTTTTGAACATTGGAAAACTTGAGGGATGAAAAATATTTTTTTAAGACGTTGGTAAAAGTCAAACTTCTAATTAACTAAACCCAAACACTTAAAGTTTGAGAACGAACTCGGTTCTATTGATGTGGAAAGTTTAACTAGATTAATTTTCTAAATTTTCATTTTTCATATAATAATCAGGAAGTACCATGGTCAATTTTCGACAGTACCATTCTAACTTTATTTTCCTAAGTAGATTATTTATAATTTCATATCGAGACCAAAAGAATTTAGTAATTATCTCTTCATTTATCTCAAAGATAGAGAGCAACGACCTTACGAACCAGATTACCACCCCATGCTCATGCAAATAAACACTGACTAGCTATCTGCATTTATATTTTCCTTTCTTCAATCTGAGCTTGGCGGGGATTCTCTGCAAAAACTTTGCCGTAACAAAGCCCATTAATTTGGGATCTGTAACCAGCCCAACGAATACCTGATCCTTAGCCCAAAATTTCAACCCCACCTAGACTAGAGCCTTAAAAGTACAAGTAGACTGTAGAACCATTAGAACAGCCCAGCTGATTCCAACTTCCATCTGATCCAGCTAGACCCCAATGAGGCCCAAACATGAGTGCAGGTTTTGATGCTTTTGAACTCTTGCCCATTGGCCCCTGTTCTAAGTTCAAGTACAGTGCGTTTGGTGTAGTTTTTTAGAGTTTTTACTTTATTTGTATTGTTTATAAATTATAAATATAAATTTTTATTGAAAAAAATTTTAAAAATTACTTTTAAAGATTAAAAAAAGAAAGTAAAAAATAAGTAAAAAAGAAATTTATAAGAAACAAAGAGTTTGAAACTTTTTTAGTTTTTACTATTTGAGATTTTTTTAAAGTTAAAAAAATTTTTGAAATATAAAATTTTTTAAAAAAATTTAAATTTATAAAATATAAATAATATCAAAAAAAACTAAAATGAAACTTAATTAAACAGGCCTTAGTTTCCTCGAGAAAAGAGGTCATTTATTTTCAATTAGCTTCGGCTTAGTGGCTGAAGTCACTGGATGGATGGTGGAGATCACCTCCCATGAGAAGTGTGTTCATGAAATCTCATTCTTCTATTTTCCTCTACACTTAAAATATGTATTAATTACTATCTTCAAAAAAAATAGAGAAAGAAAGGAGAAGAATACCGCCGCATCCATCCATGTCAAAGCACCATGATCTGCAAAACCAACCGTCACGAAAACGAGACCTTTCGCATTCACCATTCAACCGCAAACCAAAACAATCTCTACGGCATGCTTAGTTTATACACATTATGCAATCGGTAAAATGATGCTAAGAGCAGAAACAGTCGAACCACCTCCGCTGTGACAACTTGTCAATCTACTACATTATCCATTGAGGAAATTTCCTTTTCAAAAGGACAAGCAAAACGGCTGCTGTAAATGTTCTCTACCATGGCGCCATCTAGTCTAGACTATTAGGGGATAAATCAGAGAAAACCTTGAACCCTACAGCCACTGTGGACTACGCTAATTGTGAATACATAAATATATGACAGCTACCACCCAAGTATTGTTGAAGATGACCAGGAATACCAAAAGTATGGCAAGCTGTGGATGCAGAAACTGAACATCTAAGAAAGCTGCAAGAAATAATAACATTCGAAGATGTTATGCTCAGTACAAAACCGACCCCTACTCCCATTGCAATGAGAACCATCCTAACTATCTGCCTTTTTGCTCATCTCCGTCTCTTTTTTCCACTTTTTGACTCACTTGCCTGTGCCTTGGATGAACTTGCTGACTTACCTTTGACACTTTCCTGTCCTTTAGTTGAATCCGTTGAGTTCTCCTTCACCTTAGATGAACCAGATTTTGACTTGCCAGTTCCATTAGGATTAGATTTGCCACCACTTTTAGGGGGCTTACCCTTAGCAGTGGAAGAAGGCTTGGGAGTTTCCTGCTTGGACTTTGAAACCTTTGAGGCATCTTGCTTCAACTTGGAAGAAGACTTTGGAGTGCTAAGGCTGTCCTCCTTAGATTTGCTAGACTTGGGAGTATCACTGTCTTCATTCTTTGATTTGCCAGCTGCCTTGTGATCCTTACTTCTGCTGGCACTGTCATCTTCTGACTTATTAACAGCCTTGGAGCCATCTTTTGATTTGCTATCATCTTTCCCATCTTCCTTTGACTTGGCAGCACCCTTGGATTTGCTGGATGAACCTCCACCCCTGGCAATTAAAATTTTGATTTTCAGAAAATCAAGCTAAATTTACAGCAAGGACTACATAGAGAAAATTTACTCACATTTTGGGAGAAATATCCATCTTAGAATGCTTAGTTGACTGTTTAGTTGTTTTTGCTTTCTTCTTTGGGGGCCTGGACATAGTTATCAGAAAGGGTTAAAAAAGATCAAAAACAAACAAGAATTTATCAAATAAAAAACCCAGTAACCAAAGAGATCCATCATACATAAATCACTAAACCAAGTTCCTTAAAATGAAAATAGTTGTAATCATAGAGTAACATTCAATGTCTTGTACCATTCAAATAATATATATTCTTCCAAAATGGTGGGAGACGGACACAATTTCAGATTTTCAAGTTGGGGGCGTGAACAAGATGCTCATAAAATCAATATTTTCAAGTCAGTGTCTACAATAAGCACCACTTACATTTCAGATGCAGAATCAGGACTTGCTTGGCCAGCTTCTCCTTTCTGTAAGAATGAAGTACAACTTTAAATCTCTAAAATATATAATATAATAATCCTACTTGATTGACCAAAAGAATATCACTCTAGAATGTGGATCCAACTAAAGATAGAATTGCATGAATGAGGCAACTGCCTACCTCATCTGATTCAGAATCAACTCCAATGAACTCCCACCTTTCCCTCTTAAGAGTCAAATTTTCTTCATCGCCATCATCATACAATACCTGTAAAAAAAATGCACTCAGAATGAGATGAAAAGAAAATCTGGAAGAAAGGAAAAAATATTAGAGGAAAAGAGTTCCAATTTGATGGTCACCTTGTGCTTTTTCCTAATAGGATCAAATGAATCAATAACACCTGCATAAAACCTGAAAAAAGAAAAGAAAACAGTTAAACATTTCATGTTAAATACATTTAAATTTACATGATAAAATTTCTAGGCCAAAGATGGCAAAAACTAGGAAAATAAGGAATTTTGGAGCCAGAATAGTTTACACTTAACATCACTTACGTTTTATCTTGTGGCCACCAGACTTTGACCTTGGAACCAACCAGATTCTCACCAGATTCTATAGAACCAGAGGCCTAAGAAAGCAATCATTTATAAGATGAAATGAGAACCATTGAAGCTGAAAATAAGTTTACACCAGCAATATTCATCCAAACACACTGAGAGAACAGAAGGGGGAAAATAATTAAGGAAACTAAGTTTAAGGCAACTGAATCAGTGATATTCCATTTTTGAGAGTGCACAAGGTTGGAACAAAATATAGATGAATTATTATTTGTCAAGAGGATACTTACTTTATCTTTTCCAGGAGTCAACTTTCTCTTTGTGTTGGTCTTAGGGGTCTCTTCACGAGGTTCATCTTTACTTGGCTTTGCTGACTTTGGAGAAGCAACCTTTTCCTATATATAAATAATAAGATTCAATGGCTCTATCAACTCTAAAATCCAATGAAAAAATAAAACATTCCAGCAGGAAGTTCAACAGAACAGCAATCCATAATTAATAACAAAAGAGGAAGTACCTTCTCATCATTCTTAGTTGAAGTTTTTGTTTCATCCTTCTCTGAAATAACTTTCCCTCGAGATCGCTTTTTCTTATCCTCCTGTTGCTTTGAAGAGGATCCATCAACATTATTACTGTTGGCATCTGCTTTCTTTGCTGCTTGCTTCCCTGCTTTTCCCTCTGAGTCACTAGCAGTGCTAATTTCTTTCCCAGTTTCATCTGTCACAGTTGGAGTTTTATCCTCATTAGATTTCCCAGCAGCAATCTTCTTCCCAGAACGTCTATTTGGCTTTGCTTCTGAATCACTAGTTCCTTCTGATGTCTTTTTTGAAGCATCATCAGCAGGTGTTATGTCCTTAACAAGGCTCAGTTTCTTTTTGGGCCTTCCCATTCTTTTTGGAAGGCTCTCATCAGGCAGATTCCCACTTGCTGTGGGAGAAACATCTGCAGATTCACCATCAGTTGCCTTAGAGGAAGAGGGCTGAATCAGCATCTCTTCTTTATTTTCTGAGGATATAGCAGCATCAACAGGTTGTTCCACAGGAACCACACCAGGAGCATCCTCGCCATCATTTTTATGCTCTGAAGCTGCACCAGGAGCATCCTCGCCATCACCTTTATGCTCTGAAGCAGCACTGGGAGCATCCTCACCATCACTTTTATGATCAGAAGTTGCACCAGGAGCATCCTTGTCTTCACCATCATGCTCTGGAATAACCTCAGTTTCCTTCTCATCACATGAACCATCAGCAGGTTCCGTCAATTTTGAAGAATTTGAAGTCTTCCCTCTGTTTTTGGTACTTTGTTCTGCCTTTGATTCTGTATTGGCCTTCTCAATAGCCAAATTATCAGGTTCAGCAGTGCTTGATGTATCAGTATGTTTGGGCTGATCAGCAGGCTGTCCTTCATCTTGCTTCTCTAAGGAATTTGAAGTCTCCTCTTTGTTGGGTTGAGGGATCCCATTGCTAACAACTGACTTTGGAGATTTTTCTTTTGTAAGATCAACCTCAGCAGAAACCACTTCCAGAGGAATCTCTTCATCCTCCTGCTACAGCATTCAAGAATTTATTATGAGTGATTTCAAAACTTAAATTCTAACAACAAAACCTGATAAAAAGCCCCAGATTATTAGAAAAAGAAGCACCAGAATTAATTAATTATTTCTTAAAGAAACATGCCTGCAGTTTCTCATCCAAAGCTTCCACTGCTGGCTTCCCATCATCAGCCTATATCAATGTTATAAACAAGGTCAGCATACTAAATCACATATACATTAACATGCAAAAGGACAAATCAAAGCATCAGTACTCATTTCCAAGCCACTTAAGATTATGTTCTAAGGGCCATTGTGAACAAAATCCAGAAGTAGATTATTAGACAGTAAAAACAAGGCCACCAAGTTTAAATCTCAAAGGACCATTCTGGGCATGTTACTGGTACTGGGAAGAGCTACACAATTGGAACAAGGATAATAGTGCATATAGCAACAATCAGAAGAAGACCAGGGATAATTCAGTAGAAAATATCAGCATACTGAAATTATTGAGGGAAGAACCAAGGAGAGCAAACCATGGAAAAGTTCCAACCTGAGAAGAAAATTCCCTCTATATTTCTTTCAACAAAATGGAGGACATTACATAATTATTAGCTTTTAAACATACAAAATTATTGACAATTCATGCAAACTGACAAGCAAACAGAACCAGTTACCATATCATTATTCTCGAAAAGAAATTTCAGCACTAATGAGAAGCTCACCATTGGTTCATTTGCAGTTGCATCATTCTGCCCAACAGCATCATTCTGCCCAACAGAATCATTCTGCTCAACAGCATCAGAAGATTCTTGGCATATAGAAAAAACTACTTTACTATAATCATCGAACGAAATGTTTAACTTTTTCACTGCTTCTGTCAGATAAGGTTTAAGCTTTGTAGAGCAGCTCTCAAGCACTTTCTCTGCCAATTTTTGAGCAACGGGCAAAACTTTCTGTAATATATTTTAAGCACTTGATCAATTTAACAAAATCAAAAGGGAAACTAGAGGACAATAGGTTACTTACGACAACAAACCTCATCATCCTTTTTGAGACTAGCTAATAATGGGGAGAGTAGCTCTGTAGAGATGTCTTCGCTTTCTTCTAGAACAAGAGTCATAATTGTCTCCATGGATGAAAAAACATTCTCTGGGTGATTATCTCTGAAAACCATCAGAAAGAAACATTCAAAGAAATTCTTTAGCATACATCATTCTGAAACCTTTCTTATTGTATCCAGCTGTCTTATGCATCCTCTTTGTGTAAATCTATCAGAGACTGCCACATATATAAAACATTGCCCTAAGAACAGGATGATGGACATATATACGTGACTGTCAAACTACTCATAATTTCTGTCGCAGAATCCAGATCCAGAAAGGTAGATATATATTGCAGCAGATAGATATTACAAAATAAATGTTACTAAAACTTTTGATGTCTTAGCTAAAGATTCTAGTACATACCTTATTGACTTTAGAAAATGCTGGAACATTTCAATAATCAGTGCATCACATTCAAGATCCAGCATCACCACACAAGACCTGACCTTTGCAACAGTTTCAAGAATTGAGGTTCTCTTAGCATATGAGCGACTGGACTTGTCAAACAAATTCTCAAATGAAGATACAATCAATTGAAAGACCTCCTGCAAACATATCAAACAGAATCAATAAGAACCCATGTCAAAATCCCAAATAAAAAAATTTTAAGGAAAAAAAATCTAAGCATGTCACAATGCCCAAAAACTGTATAAATTAAAAGTACCCTCATTTTGTCATCATCAAACGGAGCTTCTGGGGCAGTTATTCTTGTTATCTCACTAATGCAGGCTGCCACTGCAACTTTGACATCAGCATCTGAATGCCTAAAAAGTTGCTCTGTAACCAATGCTTTCAATGATGGAGAGATAGCTTTTTGCATGGACGGACTTGGTGATTGTTCCACTCTTGAAAGACAATTCTCTACTTGCTGAAGTCACAGAGAAATAAATGGAACAGAGAGTATGTAAGAATATTGGAAACTAAGAAATAGTTATTATCACTATAAAAAGATTCAATAAACTTACATTTCAAAAAAGAAAGGACATGCTTACTTTGTGACTATCCATGGCAAGGAACAAGAGAAAAATTGAAGAGTATACTGTTCACGTAATTATGAAAAACTACAATTACATGTATTACGGTATATTGAAATAGATGCATCAATGTGTTAACTGATCAACAAATCACCATATTCCAATTTCTTACCTGCATTTATCCTATTATCTATTTCTCATTCCTAAACCCGCCCTGTCAAAGCTTCACTCCCTAAATGAACACAAATACACAGAATTCAAGCTCCAGGACAAGACATGGTTGTTCCAAAATCAAGTTTAATTATATCATCCATAATTGGGATTCAGGGCCAAGTGGTAGGGGAGCAGAGGATTTGTAAGGGATGGGATTCTAAGGGACGAATTCGGGTGGGAATCTTTGCTAAGGTGAAGAAAGAATGGGTGAAACTATTTAACAGTGATCATTACATGAATACCCCTCATTCTCTTGTCCATCCCTTTAAGGGACACGAGATTTACAGCAAAGAGTGCAGGACCTAACACATTGATATAGGCCTCTCAAGTAATGCGAAAACCATGGCAGAATCCAATGTATACAACTCAGCTGTTCGTTTTAGAATTTAATATATTCCCCAAAATAGGCACCCAAGCCTTGTTGAGGACAGCACATAATTAACATCTTTAAACTCTCACTACGTCTAGCGTATCATAATATCATGGATGTATATGAATGAAATTGAATGTATTACCGAGCAATCTAATTTCCAAATAAGAGAGCGAGTCAATTCATTAACAGAATTACCATTTAAATATTAATAGCAAAAGATTGCTCAAGTTTAGTAAGTAAAAACATAAAACAAAATGTTAATTACAACAGTTAGCCAGATCTTGCAAACTTAAAGACATATATGGCATTTCACTCAATTAGAATCAAACTCATTACGTCACATATAACCGCGAAACCCATAGCCCGCGAACTAGCACCCACGTATTTTAAAATTTGAAATAACTAATAATCACAGAACATACCTACTAATTGGATCCAAGCATTGACATTCTAACACTTAAAAGACCTCTATAAATCAGCTACATTCACATCTTTAAAACATTTTAACATTCATTCACCTAGATAGATGCGGTACAATGATACAAAATCTAAACGCAACAATTACTAGCCAATCTCCCTGAACTAAATATGTTAAGGTCATTCAAATCACCAGCACTATTAGCAGAAACAGAATTAAACACGAGATACGCATGCAGAACCACAACAAAATCAAAACACGAGTAAATAAGAAGCAAATAACAAGATTCAGCTTTTACAGCAAACAAAATCAGTCAAACAAAAAACACCATTAACCAAAAAAGCATAAAATTAATAGCTAAGAACAAGAGAAGACACAGAGAAAAGAAGAAGACGAGTATGAATTAGGGCTTACATCCAGAAGAGGAAGAAGCTCATCGACCGAAGAAGGAGGGTCCATGAGTGCGTTCCCTGCTTCCATTAACTGTTCTGCGAGCTCCTTATCAGAGGCCATGGTTACTCTATTCAAAAATAAAAAATAAAAAACACTAAACAGATTCTCTCTAGATCCTTAACAAGCTCACTTTTTCTTCTCAATTTCACACCATTGAAACCCTAGAAATTTACAGGAAAAACACAAATCGAAGACCAAGAAATAGATTCAGCGAGAAAAACAGAGGGATTCTAGAAAGAAGGTTAGGGTTGTTTTTTTAAGGGAAAATAGAGTGAGTGTTTTTTTTGGTTTTAAATTTTTTTATTTTTGCAAGAGAATAATACAACAAAGAATATTTTATATTTATATAAAAAGTTCTTATTTTTTTTGTTTTCTACTTTCGATGGGTCTCATCGTAATGTTACTACATATTTAAAGAAAAAAATCCAGCGGGCTAAGTTCGGACTTTGCCGTGTTTATTAATTGGAGTTAAACCTGGAATTTAAATCCGCCGTTCGATCTCTAAGGGTGGAGTCCACGAGTGCTTCCAATACCGTATGATCTCTGTGATGCGTTTAAATACACGGTTGGCTATTATGGAAAGGGAAGAGGACTGCAATTGGCTTAAAAGGAAGTATTTATGGTTATTTTGGAAATCTATTCAAGGCTAGCAGATTTTTTTTTTCTAAAAATGGTGGCCCAATATCAGTATTATTTTTTAAAAAAATATAGTTACTACAATATTGATATTATAAATTTATTGTAAATTTACAATATATATTTATGTAATTAATTTTTTTACTCAATATTTTATTTATAATATTATATACATTTATTCTTTTAATATTACATTATATTTATGTAATAATATATCTTAATTATAAATTTATAATTTTATGTAATATTATAAATATAATATTAACATTGTAAGTTTACTTGATTAAGATTAGCGTTTTTTTAGTATAAATAATAAAAAATAAAAATAATGTAATTACGATATGAGTTTTTTTATTTATAGGATAATGATGTATTTATTATATTTTTTATAATTAATTTACATAAAAATATAAATTTTAATTTAATTAATTAAAATTATTCACGCGATAATGGGATTAAAATAAAAATCAATTTTTATATTTTTATATAAATGAATTGTAAAATGATATATTTATTATACTTTTACTCTATACTCTTAAAACACAAATTATACAAACCCTTACAATATAATGCCACTTAACTACTTAAGTACATTATTATAAGAATAATATCATATTAAATAAGTAGATGAATATAATATTATATATAATTTTTAAATAAAAAATATTATATTATAATTATAAAGTTATAATATTATAAGTATATTATTTTTGAAAAAAAAAATCAATGTGGAGTATAACTTTGTAAATATATTTTTATTTTATTTTAAAAAAATCAAAATCATCCGTCTATCATAAAAATATTCTTCTATATCATAAATCTCTCAAACAATGAGTAATTCATCTTCCAATTACATGTTTTATTTTTGGAACTAAAAATTAAAATGTTATATGTTGGTTCTAGACTTAAGAAGTTTCATACTTAAATTTTCTACTCTCGTGTATCAAAAAAGGCATTGATTATATATCATACTCATTATGATTATAAAATTGGGAAGTCAACTATTCGATGCCTTTTGATTAAGAGCAAGTGAAAGTTTAAATGCAAAATTAAGGAGAAAATATGCAAATATAAATATAAATTTTACCATTATTTTTATTTAAAGATTTAAATATTTTAAAATTTTAAATTAGATAATAAACTTTAATTTTTTTCTAAATAAGAATATAAATTTTACTATTTTTTTATATGATGATAATAATATAGCAAACACTAATTTCAATTAAAATATGGCACAGTTTGTATTTCTAAATAAAAAAATAAAAATTTACTATTTAATTTAAAAATTCAAAAACTTTATATATTTAAATAAAAAAAATTACAAGATTTGTATGTTTTTCTGAACTTTTTCTCTAAAATTAGGCCTTTGGGTTTTGCGGAAGAAAATGTGCTTTTTTTTTTTCTTTTTTTGAGAAAATGCCATAGACCCATTTGGTTTGGTTGGGCCGTTACCGCACACGAAAGACGGGCTCAACTCCAAACTTGATGGACTCACTGAATTTCAGCCCAAACCAATCAACACTCCCGGCTCCAAAATTCTCCAAACTTGATGGACTCACTGAATTTCAGCCCAAACCAATCAACACTCCCGGCTCCAAAATTCTCCAACTCAAAACATGGAGTTTCATCCAATCGTATCCCTCCACGTGAGTTTTTTTTCCACGTGTTTTCTCTGCATTTGCCCGAATCATGTCAGCCAACGCATCCCAAAACTCAAGGTCTTCCTTTCCTTTTTCAGTCTTTCCTCCCTCAAAACCGAGATTCAGTCTTACAGGCTCCTTCTAAATCCTTCCAAGCGACTGTTGTTTTCTCCTCGGAACTGAGTAATTTCCGGTAGGTAGTTGTTCCACCGTGGCGCCGTCGGGGCCGCAAGCCCTCTCTCGAAGGAAACCTTCATCTTCGTCATCGGAATCGCCGTCGTCCGGTCCAGGTGTTAGTAGAGTGGTGATCAGAGAGTCTTTGAGAAACAATTCGAGGTTTGAGTATCCGTTCTGGCAACAGAACTGGTTCATAGGATTGCTTTTCGTGATGGCCATGGGATTCTTAGCTCTCGCTGTCTTCCTCCTCCTCAACCTTGACGTCGATCATGGATCGCCTTCATCTGCATCCGCAGCTTCATCTCCAGGCGTCGAGGTTCTTTCAGATATCACGTTGCAAGATTTTTTTTCTCTTTAGTTTCCGATTTTGCGGCACCGGGAACTAATTTAATTTGTTTTTGTTTTTCAAATTTTAACTTGCAGATTACTTATGGGACGGTTCTTAAGCTGATGCATGAGAAAACGAAGTTCCGGCTTCATTCTCACGATGTGCCATATGGTTCGGGCAGCGGACAACAGTCCGTGACAGGCTTCCCAAATGTAGATGACTCCAACAGCTACTGGGTACTATTTTTCTTCTGTCTACTGTGTTTCTTTATGGTCTTTATTCCTTAATATACGTAGGATTGTTACTACTTTTGATGATGATTGAACTCTTTAAAGAATATTTGGTAGATGTTGCCAATTGATTTGGCTGAAGAAGCTAAACCTGTATTTACATTTTGAGTTCTATAATTTTCTGTGTTTTGGTTCTTTGACTTTGTAGCTGGAAGTGTCTTAGTTGAATGTGGTTTTTTTGTTGCATTACATTTTTTGCATTCAGATTCTATTTTAGTGGTGTGATAAAGACCATATATCCTTGGTACGTGTTTGGTTTGGATTAAATTGGAATATTGGATCTCTTTTGCAGATTGTGAGGCCTCCGCCAGGGACATCTCCTAAACAAGGTGATACCATCAAAAGCGGGACAATCATTAGGTTGCAACATATGAGGAGTAAAAAGTGGCTGCACAGCCATTTGCATGCATCCCCAATATCAGGCAACCTAGAGGTGAGCTGGGGTGTGTTTTGTAGTTTATAAATTATAACTTGTTTGAATTGACGAGCATGAATCAATGTCTAGGTTGATGTTATGATAGCTCAATGTCTAGGTTGATGTTATGATAGCTCAGAGTTTCATGCTTCTTTTCTGAATCTGCTTAGGTTTTCGTTGATGAAGTAGGGCCATGGGAACAAGTGTTAAGAAACATTTGACATTCTAGTTCTCTGTGGCATAATGAGGAAATGAAATGAAGATTATTATTATTATTGTTATTATTATTTTTGGTTTAGTTTTTTCCATATGGACCATTTCTTTCCAGCATTACAGAGTTTATTGTCTTAGCTTACCCTTGGGGTAATGGTGCTTGCTTCATTGGTCTTCTCTCATTTTAGAATAATCTGCTCTTTAGCTGGACATGATGCCCAAATCATGTTTGTTTCATTGAACTGCTAATTGGTGTTGTGCAAAATTGCACTTCTCATTCTAATCTTCTGCAAGACAATAACCATTTTATTAGCTAGCTCTTTATCTTTATTTGGTGTGGGTGCAGATTAGCTGCTTTGGAGGAGAAACAGAATCAGATACTGGTGACCATTGGAGGTGAGATGAGACTGAAGATAAAATTTTGCGAAATCATGTGTATCTGTCTTTCATCTTCGGTTTTTCTAATGTTTGATATAAATACAATGTTCTTTAGGCTCCTTATTGAGGGGAGTGGGAAGATATGGAAGCAAGATCAAAGGATTCGGCTTCAGCATGTTGACACTGGTGGCTTCCTACACAGTCATGACAAGAAGTACACCAGAATAGCTGGTGGACAGCAGGAGGTGAGCAGGAATTTTCACTTTCTTTTGTCCAAAGATGAACATGGGAGCAGCCATGTTAATTATTACATTGCTGTTCCGACCTAGGTTGTGACTACCATGTGTTACAACCTTTGGTTAATAACTATCACTTGTTTCTGTTAATATATCTAAAGCTGTTTCCTTGTGCTTGTATAGGTTTGTGGTGTTCGAGAAAAACGTCCTGATAACGTGTGGTTGGCAGCAGAAGGTATCTACCTCCCAGTTACTGAGACTAAGTAGAATATAGTCAATTTTAAAGAACACTTATTTGCAAAAGCAGGTACATGGGTTTTTGGTTTTTAGGCGGCTGGTGCCTGTTTCTATAATAGCTGTAGCTTTCTACTAATTGAAATATATTTCACGGAAGAGCATTCAGTCCTTAATGATATGTCATTAATGTTTTGCACCTTTAGACGTTACTTATTGTAGTCCACCTATATGTAGTTTCATTTTGTTACTTTTGTAGAGCAGGCTGATGTCCTCTGCTGCTACCTAAAAAGAAAGAAAAAGAGACCTTGAGGTGGATGCATGCTTTGGGGTTTTATGCATTGTCTGTATTGTAATCATGTTCTCAATGGAATTATGTCTTTAACATGCATAAAGCTTGCAATGGTTTCTTGGATGAAACTCTGGTTCTAGAGTTGGGAACCAGGCAATTAATGTTATCTTCACACCAAAAATTAATTGCCATGGAGAATTAGAACAATGGTAGCTCCGTTTAATAGGAATTCTCACCAACTTGAGTTCGAGTCTTCCCACTCCCCTCTCCCCATTTTGAGTTCAAAAAAAAAAAAAATTCCCATGGATTGTTGGGCTCAAAGTGGTCCACTATATGCCCAAAGGATACCTCTACTAGGTAGCCTCTGCCCGATATGGCAGAAATAAAGTGTCCTAAAACTTTAGCTCGTCAAAGGGCGCAGGATAAAAGTGATGATAAGCATTTCAAAAGGTGCCTCTAACTTTTTGTTCCTCATTGAAATGGTTCTTGTGGTCCAATAGTTCGTTCTCAAGCCTTAATACTTAGGTGAGATGATGGGTGGAGCTTCGAACTCCACTACCGCCGTAAACTTCATCAAAATATGACTTGATGGTCGCGTCGGGGTGAAATGTTCATCCGGTCTGAAAATCAGTTACTAACAATTAACTCACTAACTTCTTAACCATTCTCCTTAAAAAAAAAAAAACCTTTTGATCCTCATTAAAAGGCGTGTAATTAATAGAAATTAGGCAAATATACAATTAGTGGTGGGCATATCTCGGCTGACTGCCCGAAAACAGAAAAATTGTCTGACGTTGGATCAAAAAAAATTCGTCACATGCAAAAGCTATATTTCCGTTAGACTCTCCCTTTTAAGTTTACCTATAATGTTCGAGCTTATTACGAGATAAGGGGAAGAGTTGTGACCATAATATTCATAAAAAGAGTGTGTAAAAATTGACTTTAAAATATTTTAATTTTGTATTAAAATTTTCTTATTCTTTCAACTTTATAATTTTAGATTAATTTTTTCCCTCCACTCTTCGGTTCCACACGAAAATCGTTAATGCCCGTCCAAGGTATCATTGGTTTACGTTAAGAAATTTATTTCTCAATTATCATTCCTCGGCGGAAATTAAGTGTAATGGAAAGTGGTAGACCCGTTTTAGTCCAACGCAGAAATCATGTTTCATTAAACAACTTAACCATTTAATTACATAAACTAAAGGAAACTTGTTTTATTGTTTGAATTTATAACGAATTATAAAATATAAATTATTGAATAAAAAATTAAATATTAAGTTTATTTTGATTTAATAATTAATATAATTTAAATGCATTACATTTTTTAAAAAATTAAAATAAAACTAATTCTAAATATGAAATGACAAGGCTGCCCTTTTCTTCCCCAAGCCTTTCTTCTATTTATTCCTATTTAAAAATTTTGTCTTATATGGACCAAAATAGTTACAAAAAGAGGAAAAAGTAATGGTGTCATCAAAATTTTTTCTTTTTTTTTGAAAATCTTGTGTTCTACTTTTGGCATCAAAATGTACAAAGGACTATAGGAGATTAGAGTTTTCTCCTCTCTCAAATGACACCAAAAATAGCTTCCATGTTATGAAAGCAGAGCAAGAGACACAAGGAAGTCCCCTAAGATACTCCTGTGCACTGTCCCAAACATAGCAAAAAAACAGTATATCTATATAATAGCACAACATAGTCCTTTAAGATAGTACTAAGCTTTGTCTCAAACAAAGCCAAAAACATAACCCATCATGGTCTAGACACAAAAAATTTGTTGATATGAGATTGTAGCATTACAATCTTCTCCACTTAAACACTGAAACATAACCCATCATGGTCTAGACACAAAAAATTTATTGATATGAGATTGCAGCGTTACAATTTTCCCCACTTAAACACTGAAACAACCCAAACTGAAATCCATCATTGACCTAATAATTCTTTGGGCCAAGGTCAATAAGCCCTCAAAAACCTAAGTTTAAGTTGTTAGTAGTGGTGAGTCTCTAACCTCATATATCACTCACAATCATACTCTTCTTTCGATGTGAGATTGAAGCATTAAAATCCCAAACTCTTCATTCGATGTGAGATTGAGGCGTTAAAATCTCCCATACCTAAAACATTTGACATCTTTATCAAGTCCAATTCAAACCAACACAAATTCCACCAATGCCACCATTGTAAACTCTAAGCTTCACACTTATGAGGGGGAACTACTTTCATATCAACTAATGCAACACAAGTCAAAGCCCACTACTGGGCTGACAACTCTTCGACCAAGGTCCATGAACCCTCAAAAACTCAAGTTTAAGTTATTAATAGTGATTGTTCTTTACACTTGTATACCACTCATAATCATACTCTTCTCCCAATGTGAGATTGGGGTGTTACATGTTGTTAGCTAATCTACCCAATAATATCTAGCTTGACATGCTCTCACCTTCTAAAACCAAGAATTGGACCCAAATCCCATTAATCAGCTTGTAAAATTCTTCTATTCAACCATTGGTTCTCATGGTACATAAGGCCTCATTAATCACAATCAAACTTTTGCTTTTAACATTTTCATCAAG